TCCTTCCTTGGTGTCAACTGTGTATGTAATCCTTCCTTGGTGTCAACTGTGTGTGTAATCCTTCCTTGGTGTCAACTGTGTATGTAATCCTTCCTTGGTGTCAGCTGTGTGTGTAATCCTTCCTTGGTGTCAGCTGTGTATGTAATCCTTCCTTGGTGTCAGCTGTGTATGTAATCCTTCCTTGGTGTCAGCTGTGTATGTAATCCTTCCTTGGTGTCAACTGTGTATGTAATCCTTCCTTGGTGTCAGCTGTGTGTGTAATCCTTCCTTGGTGTCAGCTGTGTGTGTAATCCTTCCTTGGTGTCAACTGTGTATGTAATCCTTCCTTGGTGTCAGCTGTGTACCTTATTCTTCCTTGGTGTGATAAGTGTTTATAATCACCTTCTCTGATACCTGCTAAATATACATATGTTCAATCTCTATTTGATGTTAGCTGTATTTGTAGTCCTTCCTTGGTGTCAAATGTATATATTTGTGTGTTTGTGCACGCACACATATGTATGCTTTTGTGTGTGCAGGTGTGTATGTGTGAATACATGCAAGTGTGTGTGTTCACAGGTGTGTGCGTGTGTTTTATTTCCTTTTTTGTCCGGCTTCAGAGTTTTTTTTTTTTTTTAATTTATTCTTGTCGGGGACTTGTCTAGCACTATGTTTCTACATTAATAACAAATTAGTAACAGATAATTGTAGATTTACTTGGATGAATCTTCTTTGTTCAGTGGTTACTATATTTCTTCAGTAATAATAAATTAATAACAAATAATTGTTAATATTTTCTTTGATGAATCTTCTTTGTTCAGAGGTGACCATATTTCTACATTAATAACAAATTAATAACAGATAATTGTTGTGCTTTTTCTTCTTTGTTCAGAGGTTACTATATTTCTACAGTAAAAACAAATTAATAACAGATAATTGTAAATATTTTCTTTGATGAATCTTCTTTCTACAGTAATTGTTTGTTCCTTCGTCCATCACAAATGATGACAACTCTTTCTGTCATCCGTCATAAAACTTCAGTTGAAGTCCGGAGGTGACTTATAAGTCTAAAGAGTCTAGCACAGTGTCTGTAGACAAAGTGCCTGTTTCATGGTTTTTCTGTCTGTCTTCACTGTTCAGCTGCCCTTGCTCAAGATGCCTCACACATCTCTGCACCTTCTTGGATATATCTGCGCCATAAAGTCCGGTCTTGTGTTCTACAGTAATAACAAATTAATAGCAAATAATTGTTGTAGATTTTTCTAGATTAATCTTCTTTGTTCAGTGGTTACTATATTTCAACAGCATTAACAAATTAATATCAGATAATTGTTGACATTTTCTTTGACCAATCTTCTTTGTTAAGAGGTTACCATATTTCTACATTAATAACAAATTAATAACAGATAATTGTTGTGCTTTTTCTTCTTTGTTCAGAGGTTACTATATTTCCACAGTAAAAACAAATTAATATCAGATAATTGCTGACCATTTCCTTGATAGGTCTTCTTTGTTCGGCGGATACTAAATTTCTACAGTATTAACACATTATAAACAGATAACTGTTAGCATTTTCTTTGATGAAGCGTCTTTGTTCAGAGCTTACTGTATTTCCACAGTAATAACAAGTTAATAACACATAATTATTGTATATTTTCTTAGATGAAGCTTCTTTGTTCAGAGGTTACTGTATTTCTACAATTAAATTATTTGTGTATCCTATACAGAAAGTTACAGAACCAACCCCAGTGTTTTTGGCTGTTGTGGTTTTGCTAGACACATTTTACATTCAGTAATTTGCCACTGCTCTCTGAGCGGTCAGCTTTTGGTACTACTGTCGAAATAAATGCAAGACAAACTGTCCGCAGCTGGGATCAAACTCAGCATTACGAAGTGTGTTCACAACGCGCAAGCCACAGATACTAATAACTATATTTCTACAGTAATAACAAGTTAATAAAAAGGTGCGTGCAGCTAGTTCTCAAGCAGATGGAAGGTGTGGTGACTGCCTCCACCTCCATACTCAAACTATCTGTTGTGGTATCAAATGCCAGACTTTGCTGCACTAACGGCGTTAATTAACTTTTGCTGTGTAACCCAAATGATATCTCCTGCCTCCCAACACAGAGCCATGTGTGAGTATAATCACATAACAAATTAACAGATAATTGTTGGATATTTTCGTAGATGAAGCTTCGTGTTCAGAGGTTACTAGACAGCTCCAGTTCCCAGGTTTTCTTATTTCATTGAATGACTTCTGCTCACCTGTGCAGTACATGTCACCTTGCATATTTTTTTGCTTTGCAAAGCATTGAGAAGCTATTATGTAAGGCTTTATCACATGCTTAACAGTATATACATACATATATTTCTTGTCACTGGTCATTGACTGTTGAGATTTCAAACCTTTTCTGTATTATTTGCATGCATGTTATCTTTCTGTGGCATATTTTAAAATCATGTTTATAGTTTAGTTTGTAGGCTGTGTGAATGCATGAGATATTTAGTGCATATGGTGTCAAATCGACACGCTTGTGTTATGACGGTTCCATTGCTTCTATATTGATAAGTCTGTTGATTAATGAGGTATATTATCACGCTTTAGTCCCCATGCTTACCATATGCTCATGATGGGAGAGAGAGAGCGTAAGAGTTTGAGCTTCATATTATTTTTGAGTTGCCTGTTCCTGACTGCATGACGGACATACCCATAGGTGCTCATGTTTCCCTGTCAACATATACATCAATTTCCTCCAAGTGTTGGGTCCGGGCCCCTTAGGGAAAGGGGGCGAGGGGGGTCAGATTGTTTCCCTCGAAGTCTGAATGCATATAACTAAGAGGCAAGGAACCTACAGTCTGCATATAAGTCCACATTTCCATGTATAAATTGTTAATCTGTAATAAAATAAGCATGAAGACAGGGATGCTTCGAGCAGAGTGGCAAGCTTCTCTGGGAATCTGGTAATCTGTTAATCTTAGTTTCAGCTTCATAGCAAACCAGTCACCCCGTAGTTGCTCCGCTCCTGTGCCAACTAAAAACACACAGAATATTTATCACAGTCCCTTGTGGAAAGATTGACAGACTGCTGTCTCATCATATGCACTAGCATTCACACGCATGAAAATCATACGGTAGCCATCCGAAGTGCTAACACAAACAGTCTGACATTAGAAATGCAGAAGTCACTAACAGATCTGCAGTTGCACACACGATCAATTTTAATCACATAATGGCACCACCAATATACGACAACAGGCATCCCACCATTTTCTGAATCTACAATTCATACCACCACGTTGGTCACAGTAGAAAATTATTCCAAATGAAATCAGCAGCTCACAGTGCCAGCTATAAGAAGGTCACGGGTAGTGAGCATGCTTTGGATCTTTTCTCCAGGTCATGCCGGCATAGTAGGTAAGGAACAGGCAGATAGATTGGCTGGATCTGCACCACTGGGTGGTGAATTGATACATGACAGGGCAAATGTGCTCAAGGCCCTTTAGAAACAATCAACAGAATTAGTAGAGAAACAAGATTATTATGGCCTGGAGAGAATGAGGCACCTGGGTGTAACCAGAGGGTCTGGCCTGCTCACTACACTCAGAGGAAAGGCAAGATGAACATATTACCAGATTGTGACCGGTACCATCAGTATTGGAACTCTGCGCTGGCTGCTGAAGATGAGGATGGAACATGCATGGGAATGCCCCGAGTGCTGTGATGTCAATCCTTGACTCAACAACTGAACTGATATAAGCATGATTTTTTTTTTTTTTGCAAGCATGATACTGTATTGCTCACAGGCAGGTAAACTTCTGTGTGTATGTGGCTGATTTAAATATTATACACAGTATGCTTCATACATTTACCTATACGCTTGGACACAAGTTAGTTTATTGTCAAAAGTAATGTAATGTAAAAGACCCTGTTCTTGTCTTTTGCACATAAGGATATAATGCTAGACCTTTGTTGTTATCAGCACTCACTGGGTGTTGTGATCAGCATCAGGCCAGCCACCTTTACTTCCCAAGATTTCACCTGGTACCCATTCTGAGCTGGCCAGACCTGTGAACAAAGGTCAGTTTTGCAAAAATCTGCCTAACTGCATGTTCAAACCCAAGATCTTTGATCTGACGGGTGAGCTTCTGACCAGTTTGCCATCATCACTCCCTAGTATTCTTGTTAGGGATGTCAGAGTAGTGTGTGATCCACTTAGAATTGTATTACTGAAAAATATTTTTTTTAAACACCATTGTACTTCAAATATTACCAACAGATGTTTGGGGTTAGCTGAAGCAGAAGACATAAATTATCATTTATTTACATACATTTGTGAACACAGATCTATTTACATTTGATATTGATTGTATAAAAGAGGTAAAAACATACATAACACGTCAGTTGACACACATGGATAATACCCAGTCATACATAGTGTTTTGTTTGTGATTGAAAGAGTAATGCATAATAGAAAGTAAAGGTCCCTTTTCCACATCTTTAGGTTATTTCCCTTACGTCCTTCTTAGGACGTTATTTTTTGTAATTTGAAGCCCCACTCTGGCTTTTGCCAGGGGCCGCAATATAGGCAGGCCATACATATGGCCAATTGTCTGAACGCGGTTTCTGGGACCACTCCACGGTGATCTTCATCCTCATGGTGGCACTTTGTGTCGTCAGGTGTTTATCACTTGTGTGATGTCCTAGTGGGGTAGAAAGTCAGTCAGTCAGACATCTTTAGGCATATTTGGAATATAGAGCTAGACCTATATTTTTTATACACCAGTCGGGACTTGGTGGGTGATGTGGTCGGCATTACGCCGGCCGCCTTTACTTCCCAGGACTGCACCTGGTACCCACTTAAGGCGGGGTCGACCTGGAAGTCAAGATCATTATTGAAAAAAATGTCTGCCACTGTCAGGATGTGAACCCATAACCTTCCAACCAGCAGGCAGACGTCTAGCCGCCAACGCCACGGCGACTCCCTAAATGCATAATATGAACGTGAATTATTACATTTCAGATTATGTCTACAACATACAAGTCTAGAAGTGAGGATTTCCGCCGGATGTTTAAGGACGTTCCCAAAGATGAAAGACTTATCGTTGGTCAGTTTATTTGATTTTCTTATGATGCTGTTTATGTTCACTTATAGTGTCATTTACTCCTAATTATTTTGCAGTTTAAATGTAATTATGTCATTCACGCTTAATTATCATATCATTCACATTTAATTGTGCTATTTGCATTAAATTATGATGACATTCACATTTAATTATGTTACTGACATTTAATTACAATAGAATTAACATTTAACTATGATGTAATTTTCACATAATTATGAAATAGTTTACATGTAATTGTGATAAAATTCATAAGTAATTATGATGTCATTTATATTTACTTATGATGTCATTTATATCTAATTGTGATGTAATTCACATGTAATTATGATGTTTTTTACATTTTATTCTGATCTTTGGGTATTATAATGACATAGAAGATTGTTAATTGTGACCTCATTCATATATAATTATGGTGTTATTTACACTAATTATGATATCTTTTATGTATTATGATGTAATTCACATTTAATTATGAAGTAACTCACATTTAACTGTGATATACGCAATTTACAAGAAATTATGAATTAACTTGCATTTAATTTAAAAATAGTGCCTATTTATGATTTTTTTTTAAATATAAAAAACCTGTGATATGCTAATGATACCATTTTGATTGCTGAAAATGAATGCAGTTTCAAGAAATTAGGGTTATAATTGTAAAAGAAAGTCAAGACAAAGGTTTTAGTTTGAACAACAGAAAAAAAATGCAACAGAAAAGTTAATTTGACTAATTTGAAGCAAGTCTGTAAGTTCAGTTCTGTAGAAACCATGATAACACCAGATGAAAGGTGGATTTCAGAAGTTCACTATAAAGTAAGCAATCAAAACCATTTCAGGATAAAGAATATTTTGTGTGACAGATATATGTCAACTGAGGTAAGAAAGAGAGTTTTTGAAAGCTGTATAGACCCGGCGTTGCGAGTCTGACTCATAATTCTAACATACCGCGATCAAAACCCACTGCTAGCTACATAGATTTTTATCAGAGTCTGGGGCCTTGCTGGAAGACCCAGCCTAAAATAGGTACCAGGATGGATGTCCTGGGGAAGTAAAGATGGCCGGCATCATGCTGACCACATTACCCACCTAGTGCTGATTGGTCTGTAAAAATATGGGTGCTCTTCCCATATGCCCGAAGTGCCTAAAGGTGTGAAAAGAAATCTTTACTTTACTTTTTTTTTTGTAAACTGTTTATATAGACCTAGTCCTGCTGTACGGAAGTAAATCACATACAGTCAACAGTTAAGCAATAAATTATGCAAAAGCTACAGCAGTATTGTTTTATTATTTGAAATTAGTAATTTAGAACTTTAATCTGAAAGAATCATTTCTTTATTCTACTGACCTCTGCAAACCCTAGTCCTAAAAAGTACTTTTTGTCCACAGATTATTCATGTGCGCTACAGAAAGATATTTTAGTTCAAGGCCGTATGTACATCTCCCAGAATTGGATATGTTTCTATGCCAAAATCTTCAACTGGGAGACAGTGGTGGGTATAGATTGTAATCATCACTAGAACAGCTTATTTGTCTTTTTCCCCTTCTCCTTCATTATCTGTTATTGAGTGTAGGGCCTCAGCCAACTTGGGCCAAGTCAGTTTATACCTGTTCATAATAGGTTGGCTTTGCTGCTGAAACTTTTTACCTGATAGAATAGGCAACCTTGGAAGAGAGTGAACAGTACGGAGGCACAAATAGATCATTACTGTCTGAGGAGAATCACGCTGCGGGGAGTTACCAGGAGGTCTAGCCAACTCTCAACACTCAAGGCAGAGGTGAGATGAATGTACAGACAGACAGTTACTAGTACCATCGGAATTGGAACTCTTCGCTTGCTGCTCAAGATAGGGATGAAGCGCTAATGGGAGTGTCAAGAGTGCTATGATGTTGATTCCTAATTCAGCATTCAGCATTCTGTCCCAGACTTGCAGTAAATGAATCCACTGTGGTCCAGTCTTCCAGCCAGCTACTCCTAAACTCTACAGTTATGAGGGTTCAAATTTCCGTCTTAGATAGTTAATTCCCTGTGTACATTTATTACTGCAGATCAGGTGATTGTGGTTCCAACTTCGTAGAAAACAGGCCACCCCATAGTTGTTTCATTCCTGTGCCACCACTGTCCCTTGTGAAAAAAAATTTGACACAGACTGCAGTCTTTGTAAATCCAGTAGCATCTACATACAGTGAATGCATACGGCAGTAGTCATAAGTGCCGACACAAACAGTCTGACACCAGAAATGCAATTCATCATCGATGGCAGCAGCAGTTACAACAGATCAGTGGTTGCACACACAGTTAATCACATAAAGCTGTACAAGTTGTGTGGCAACAGGCCACTCATCATGTTTCTGAATCTACAGTTCCCAACACAGACCACATCAGGCACATTTAGAAAAAATTCTGGTTAGGTTTAAGTTAGTCTTCCCAAACAAAATAGGTCACGTTTCATTCACAAGTTTGTTGGGCTGGTCTATTTTCCTGCAAGTTACGGGTGTGCCGCTCTGTTGTTTGCTTTCTGGGTTGTCTTACATTTATGTTTTTATTTTGAGAAAGAGTATGCCTGTGACATAGGTTGCAGGACTCTCTAGGGGTGTTAGACCCAGTTTGTCCATGTTTTTGGAGTGTTAAAAGCGCTGGCGTGCTGAAATATACAACACGAGATATCAACGGCATTGCAGAAAACCCCTGTAACCTTGTGCCAAGTGTCGTGTGGCTCAAGGTCTACTAATCAGAAGTGAGCTAGTGAGTATATGGGCAGTCCATGGGGAGACCAGTGTTAGTTTTACCAAAATTCCAAATTAAATCTGCAACTCACAGTGTCACACCATGCACTCCTCAGTAGCTAGATGACAGAACTTTATCCTTTTAGTCTACATATACGTGAAAATAAAACAAGTAACTATTGTCAGAAGCAAAAATTTTCCATGACTGAAAACAGTTAGCCTGTCTGTCTGCCGTATTGACCAGAAGTCTGTAGGATTAATATTAAAATAATCTGCAAAGTAGTATTTTTTGACAGAATTACCCCCTTTTTTTAAATGTGAATAATGTTGCCTATTTTCAGATGAGTTTAACTGTTATTCTTTTACTGCTGTGTGTGTGTTTTCCACCCATTTCTAACATGATGTTATGTCAGCTAGATGCCTAAAATATCTTATATTGATCCTCTCCCCCTTCTAGTTTGTAGGTAATCAGTCACCTTGCTTTAGAAATAAACTTACTTTGATTTTATTCAGGAATTTTTTTTTCTTCTAAATGTCTGGGGTTTTTTTTGGGGTGGGGGGGGGGGGGGGTTGTTATATTTAAAGTTTTGGACTTGACTTCCATGCCATGTGGAATATTGATAGGACTTGACCTCCATGTGTGGAGCATTTTGATAGGACTTGACTTTCATGCTGTATGGCATATTGAAAAATATGGTCTTTGCCTTCTTGTGTGATCTATACCATCTTGTGTAATCTATACCTTTGTGTGTGATCTGTGCCAATGCGCATGAACTCTTGATTCCTGTTTAATGTTCTGCATCTTGAATTTCAGCTGATGATATCATGCAAGGAGATTACAGCTATTACCAAAGAGAAAACAGCCAGGGTAATCCCTAATGCCATCCAAATCACAACTGAAAAGGAGCGCTACTTTTTCACATCCTTTGGAACCAGAGACAAAACCTACATGATGCTTTTCCGAATATGGCAGAACGCATTGCTGGAGCAGGTCAGATAATTCCTCAGTGTTGTTGTCATTGTCTTCCTGGTCCTTCTTCTTTGCGTTCACTGGCTGTAAACTGTGATGGGATGTTCTGGCTGTTCGCCCGCTTCTAGACTTTACTCTTGCTGAAGAGTTTAAGTTTTGCATGCATATCTGTTTTACAGATCTGGTTTCTTTGTATGCAGACTGTTGGTTCCTCACCTCTCAGGCAGATGCCCTCTGACTTAGATTAAACACCCTTAATTAGTCACCTCCTATGACATGCTTGTTAGGGAGGCAGTGGATCCATCTCTTTTTTGTTTCCCCTCACAATGGGTCCCAAGAACCCGCATGAGGGTATATACCCTTGGTCCAGCTTCACATTGATGCACCCATTTCCTGGTATATACCCTTGGTCCAGCTTTACATTGATGCACCCATTTCCTGGTATATACCCTCGGTCCAGCTTCACATTGATGCACCCATTTCCTGGTATATACCCTTGGTCTAACTTCACATTGATGCACCCATTTCCTGGTATATATCCTTGGTCCAACTTCACATTGATGCACCAATTTCCTGGTATATACCCTTGGTCCAACTTCACATTGATGCATTAATTTCCTGGTATATACCCTTGGTCCAACTTCACATTGATGATGCACCAATTTCCTGGTATATACCCTTGGTCCAGCTTCACACTGATGCACCCATTTCCTGGTATATACCCTTGGTCCAACTTCACATTGATGCAGCCAATTCTCTTCATCCAGGAACAATACTGTTCTGTATAAGCCACTGTAACCCCTAATGTACCTGAAGTATTTCAGTTTCTGAGACGCGCTGTTTATGAGTAAGTTTTCTTCCATTCTTCCATATTAAGATCTTAGAGAGCGCTGGTATTGTCCTTATTTATGATCTACTAGACACCCACCTGCAGATCGGTAGGTCGTAGGTTCATGTCCTGACGGAGCTGGAATTTGGTTTTTTTAAATGACCTTGACTCCCAGGTCGACCCAGCTTTGAGTGGGTACCAGGTGCAGTCCTGGAAAGTATAGGCGGTCGGCATGATGCTGACCACATCACCCATCTTGTACCGGTTGGTCTATAAAAACTATAGGTCTAGCCATATATTCCCTATACGCCTAAGGGCATGGAAAAGAGACCTTTACTTTACTTACTCCCCTTGATACTTTCTCATCCTCCGCCCTTTTTTTTTTGGGAGACCACTGCTATAAGGGAATGCAACTAGCTTCATATAGTTTGCAGTGTCACTGAGCAAACAACATTTGTGACTGCAGTTTCTAATATTTGATATTGCATTATCCATTTCAGCCAATGTCAGTGAAAGAATTGTGGTCGTGGGTACACTACAGCTATGGCGAAGACCTGGGACTTACCTCTGAGGATGATGATTATGTTACTCCTCAGTGTTTGGAGGATTTGTCAGAGAAACTAAAGGATGATATGCCCTTAGATAAAGTGAGCGTTTATGTTTACGTTTGTTTATTTTTATTTGTTTGAAGTTTGAACAATGGATCAACATCATGGCACACGGGTATAAACCCATAAGTGCTCCGTTCTTTCTTCTAACTCAAGTCTGAGTCCGAAGAAGCTCAGCACAGTGCACATGCTCTTGAAATACTTTGGAGTAGATTTGTTTGTGTGAGTGTCAAATGTAACTTGTTGGGGAGGCAGTCTGACATACTTGTTGGGGAGGCAGTCTGACATACTTGTTGCGGAGGCAGTCTGACATACTTGTTGGGGAGGCAGTCTGACATACTTGTTGGGGAGGCAGTCTGACATACTTGTTGGGGAGGCAGTCTGTCATACTTGTTGGGGAGGCAGTCTGACATACTTGTTGGGGAGGCAGTCTGACATACTTGTTGGGGAGGCAGTCTGACATACTTGTTGGGGAGACAGCCTGACATACTTGTTGGGGAAGCAGCCTGACATACTTGTTGGGGAGGCAGTCGGACATACTTGTTGGGGAGGCAGCCGGACATACTTGTTGGGGAGGCAGTGCCTCTGTTCTTGTCTACCCCACAGCGGGCTCCCGAAACACACACAGGGAGATAGACAGTAGGTCTGTAAGCATTATATTACCTGGATGTCTCAAGGCCTGGTAAAGGGTTCTTTACTTTATATCTCTTTCATTTATTTATTAACTTGCTGACATGATTTCATTCTGTCCATCTCAGGTCATTCAGTTAACAAACAACTCACTGTGGGCTTATTAGGACTACCTTAATTAGAAGTTTTTTTTTTTTTTTTAAGTGAAGGACTATTTCCACACCTTGAGGCGAATTGGGCATATAGTTTAAATGTTAGTTGCCTATCCTTTACAGGAGGTTGCAGAACCAACCCCCTCATTTTTTGGCTGTTGTGGTTTTTCTAGGCAAATTTTACATTTAGTAGTTAACCATTGCCTCCTTTCTGAACGGTCAGCTCTTGGTACCACTGTTAAAACCAATGCAAGACAAACTGTCCGCAGCAGGTATCCAACCCGGCACTCTGGCATTATGAAGCGTGTTCACAACGCCTAAGCCACAGGCACCAACTGGCATATAGTGCTGGACCTATATTTTACAGACCAATTAGCACTTACTGGGGGATGTGGTCAGTATCATGCTGGCTGCCTTTACTTCCCAGGACTGTAGCTGGTACCAGTTTAACTTTGCATCTTCTACCTGGAAGCCAAGGTCATTCTTTGAAAAAGTAGGGCTCCCTTACATTACAGTTAAACCTGTTAACATGAATTCCAAGGAACCAATCGGGACACCATGTTTAAAAAAATATGTACCAACAGGAGATTGACTGTTATAAAAGAAATATTCCTGCTGAGACCAACATAATGTTCATTTTAACTGGATGTTCATGTTTTTGAGGTTTCCTATATTTGTTTTTATCAGCTTCATTTGCTTTTTCCAGCTGTAGCATTCTCTCATGAAATTGAAATTATTGTCTTGTGATTAATCTCTGGATCCCTCAAATATGGAAACAGGGGAGAATGAGAAGCAGCAGCCAAATTCATAATCTGTATAAATCACTGCTAACTACTGGCATCATGAAGGCTAATAGACTGCAGTGGTTGGGGCATATAGAGAGAATGTCAGATGACAAGAGAGGCAAAAACTGTATACACAAAAGAGTTGAATGGCAGTATACTAGGTGAGCCAAGAAGACAGTGGACAGATAGGATACAGGTAGACCTACAGTCGCACTGGAGCCACCAACTGGAGAGAAAAGACCTATCACACAGATGAATGGAGGTATATGATGTCTTGATCAGTGAACATCAAGTGCTTGACTCAACTCAACAACAATACATACAGCTGATCTTTTTCTTTTTGTTCTGCCCTTTCATCTCCCAGTGGACCATAGGCCCTCAGCTAATCCTTTCCAGTGCTATCATATACAGTTGACCTCTATGTCCTCCCCATCTGTTTAACCACACTGTCTAGTTCCCTTCTGTGTGTGTTTTTGGTCTGCCTTTATTTGTAGGTCCCAGTGAGTTTCAGTGTAATGACATGCTAGTTATATTGTTCTTAAGTTTTCTCAGTGTGTGTCCTATCCAGTGCCAGCATATTTTCTTCATCTTTTGATAAAATGGAAATTGTTTACTTCTCTTTCACAGCTCCACATGAGTTGATCTGTAATACCATCTAATTCCCTTTACTCAGTGCAGATACCAGTTAATTAGCGTTTGTTATTTATGTGTAACTGTTCTAGTTTCCAACTTTGGAGAAAACATCTGATGCCTATAAAGATTAATTTGAGAGGATCAACTTCATTGCAGCGAGTTTTATCCTATGTGAAACAGTCTCTCTCCATTGAACAGTTAGCTATCTCCTAAGAATGTAGCACAAAGCAAGAACTGCATAGCTCTGGCGATGATCCCCCTGTCTGATGCTTATACTAAAATGTTTTATTTTGCAGGTAAAAAATAAAAGAGGAATCATTGTAACATTACTTTATATCAGTATTTGTCAAGAGGCACATTAAAAATCCAAATCTGCTTCTTCTGAACTTGAGCCAGGTCTGAGTTTGTTTATCTGTTGTGAGAACTTATCTCCCAGGCATTCAATGTATTCACCTTCTTTTAGGATGATGGATCGGACTCAGAGGTAGCAACTACTACTGCGGAAAATCAGGCTGCAAGCAGTGAAGATACTGATGCTTTCATCTCAGATGAGGTCTTCAACTCATCCTCTTGTGCACCACCTAACCACCTGACTAACATGAAGAAAAGCTCACCAATGTTGTTCCAGAACTTCCTTGATTCAAGCGATGATAGTGGAGGTTAGGGAGTGAGTGTGAGGAAATATGTGTGTGTGTGCATGCTAGCGTGTGTGTAAGTGAGTGAGTGAGAGAGTTTGTTTGAAATTCTTGTCACTAGAAGGTTTAAATATTTTAAGCCAAATGTTGAATTAATTAATGACATCACTGCACTTAAGACATTTCCATAAGCACGGTCTCCATCTTTAGCAGTGGGTGTATTAATTACACAGTATCTAACAAACACATTAACTTCCCAGTGGCATCTAGTAGTGGAACATTTTGCCATCCTGTGTTTGTTGAACTGGTAAATGATTTGGTGTTGTTGAAGAAAATCGTTGCAAAACATGAAATAGTGGTCTTCAAATAACACGGCAAAACAAATGCAACACTACAGCAGTTCATGCTTAAAGAGTTTTAAGTCAAGAGGATCTACTACACTTTACAGGATTGTATCCTGTATCCCCCATAGCTTGACCTTTGTTTGCAGAACAGCTACCTGTCAAGAGTGTCACACAAAAAAATATGAAGTCCATAGCCCAAGCAGTGGTCTCTGAAAAACTGCATTTGTAAACCGAAGGACGTAGGCTATGAAACTAACCTCTAAACTTGGAGCCAAATGTTGAAAGCAAAAAAACCTGGAGCCAGATGTTGACACCAGCAAAACTGGAACCATATGTTGATGACAGCAAAAGTGGAGCCAATGGTTGATGGCAAACAAAACTGGAGCCAAAGTTTGACACCACCACAATTGGAGCCAAATATTGACGCCAGCAAAATTGAAGCCAAATGTCGACACCAGCAAAACTGGAGTCAGATGTTCTTCCACTTTGTCTTCGCATTTACTGGCTGTAAACTCTGGCAGAAAGTTCTAGTTGTTCATCCACTTCTGGATTTTTAATCTCTTTCCAGAACCTGAGTGTTGCGTGTGCATCCATTTTACAAAAATGACTCATTTGCATGCAGCTGTTGGTTCCTTGCCTCTCATGCAGGTGCACTCTGATTTGGGAGAAAGCTCCCATGTAGTCCTCTTAGGACATGCAGTTTGGTAGGCAATGAGTGGGTTCTTGTTTTTCCTGCAATAGGGCCCCGGAAACCATACTGGGAGAGTCAGACGTTGACATCAGCAATACTGGAGACAGATGTGGACACCAACAACACAGGAGCCAACTGTTGACACCAATAGAATTGAAGCCACATGTTGATGCCAGCAAAACTGAAGCCAGCTGTTGACACCTACAAAATTGGAGCCAGATAGTGATGCTAGCACATCTGGAGCCAGATGTTGATGTCAGCGAAACCAGAGCCAAATGTTGACACCTACAAAATTAGAGCCAGATATTGATGCCAGCAAAACTGGAACCAGCTGTTGACATCAGTAAAACTGGAGCCAAGTTTGACTAACAAAAGTTGACTCAGAAGATGACAGCATAAAAAATGTAGCCAAATGTTACCAGCAATACTGAAGCCAAATACTGCTACCAGTAAAAGTAGAGCACTATATTGAGACTAGTGCCGAATAAGCAAGTATGGAATTAGTAGCTAACCTTAAGAGTTACAGAACGTCAAAGCATTGTTTCCCCAGTTTACATTCAAACAAAAAAAAAAGATGCAAATAATAGACTGAACAACTTATTGCCTTGCAGGTTTTGAATGTGTGTGCAAAGGCATTAAGCAGGCATCTGAGTTTGAATATCCGGCGGTAAGATTCACCGAGTGTGGTAAATTGCATAAAGAAATTAACATCGAATGTGGTAAAGCAAATGAGGTACTGGGACGGATCTTACAGCATAAGACAGTTTTGGTCAGCTCAAAGAAACATCTCATACAAAGCACAGAACCAGTTCTAAATTACAAACAAAGACAGCAAATCAAATGGTTTGCACACTTTGATAAAAAGCCCTGTGGCTGGGCATACACCAAAATAGGAGAAGGATGTATACCATGAGGTAAACCAAGAACAAGATGGAAAGATGTCAGAAAAAGGATGTGTCTGGGATTGAGGCGACCAGAGGAGTAAGATGCAGAACCAAATATTTCCCTCGACACAGCAAGCAGTAAATTATGACATGATGAAGAAGATGATATTTTAGTGTATCACATCTTTGGCATACTGCAGTAGCTCTGAAATAACATGAAGCAAAATGTGAAGATGGGAGTCACCGAAAACCGAGGGGCTAGACGCTTACCGCGGATCAGAAGGTCGTGGGTTCACTCCCTGGCAGAGCCGGACTTTTTTCAAAAATGACCTTGGCTCCCAGGTCGACCAAGCCTTGAGTGGGTACCGGGTGCAGTCCCGGGAAGTAAACGCGGCCAGCGTGATGCTGACCACATCACCCATCTTGTGCCGATTGGTCTATAAAAAATATAGGTCTAGCCCTACATGCCCTATACGCCTAATGATGTGGGAAAGGGTCCTTTACTTTTACTCTTTTTAAAACGTGAACATGCCTTTACTTTCGTAAAATAAGTGGTTACTTTTGAGTATGATTTGTATTTCAGTTGAAAGGATTTTTTTTTTTTTTGTTGCTTTATTTTATTCAATTTTTACTGTAGAATGTTGAATTAAGAATTGACATCGTAGCACTCTGGATACTCCCATAAGTGCTCCATCCCCATCTTCAGCAGCAAACGAAGAGTTCCGATTCTGATGACACCAGTAACTGTCTGATTGTATATTCGTCTCGCCTTTTTCTTCAGTGTTGAGCATCTTCCAGATCCCCTGGCAACTCCTCGCAGCGCCATTCTCCTCGCAGCGCCATTCTCCTCAGACTGTAATGATCTATTTGCGCTTCCGCACTGTTCACTCACTCCCTCTGCCCTCACAACATCTAGCTTGTCATACATCAGTTCACCACCAAGTGGTGCAGAACCCGCTAGTCTGTCTGTCTGCTTATTTCCCAACACACCTGGAGAGAATATCCAAAGGATGCTAACTACCTGTGACCTCTAAAGTGATGCTTACCACTCTGCACGGAGCATACCTGTCTCCATCTGTTACTGTAATACGCACCTAAACACCTAAAAAGATAAAGCAAAATATAGCTGGCATTAAATTTAGAATTAAAAGGATCCACTGTAATAATGTATTCTAGTTATTTTTTTTTTCATTTGCAGGAGAATATATCTGTGAAAGTCAAGACCATCTAGAAAAATTATATTTAGATGAAGTATTTAACATCAACATAGACACTGTGTTTGAGTATCTGTTCACCGACTCACAATTCTTTCGTAATTTTGTTGGATCCCGAAAAACCTTTGGTGAGTTTCTTTGTTTATTACATGATTCTTCTTCTTATAGTCCATGCTGTGTTGCATTGGTAGTCATGCTTGTCCACAGCCATGTGTATTTTCAGTAACTTCGGACACAGAAGATCTTCCAGGTCACTGCATCAAAATTGCCCAGCATCTTCTCTGTCAATCTTCTGCTTCTTTTTTTCCCTTTACCTTTTCCACCGTCCCAATGTACTCCAGCTTTCTCTTCATGTTGTGCTGAAAAAAATCTTGACTCTCTCCTTCTGATTTGGGTAATCAATTCTATTATTAACTGAATTTTTTTTTCAAAACAATGTCATTACCTTTTTTTTTTTTAAATCTGTCCACAAAGTTTTTCTTTATTCATACAGAAGAATAGATTGTATTTTATGGAAACAGAACATCAGATACAAAAAACACAATCAGATACGCAGGTTCTGGAAAGACTGTAAATGAAAAGAGAATTATTGAAAGAAATAAAAAGAGACAATGGAAATATTTTGGCCACATTAAAGGACATAATACACTTTTTTTTAAACATACTGGAAGGACTGGTCGAGGACAAGAGAGCAAGAGGTAGACAATGTTACAAGTGTGAGAACAATACCAGGATATGAATGAACAACCAAGACAGGAGACAGAGCATGTTGGAGATCCATAGCAGCCAACCTTCATTGTGGAGATGGCACCTGATTGACTCTGCCACTGCTACATAATTTTTACTACTAATTACAAAGACTGTACTTGTAACTGTAAAGATTAGGTTCTCTGACTCCCTCATTGTTCTTTGTTAGTAAATAAAATCAAGCACCCTTAATCCACCATTGGTGCTGTGGGCATATGGTATTGTACTCATATTTTTAAAGGCCAGTTGGCACTCCATGGATTTGTTGTCACCACTACACCAGCCACCCTTGCTTCCCTGGTCATTACCTATTACCCATTTTAAGCTAGGTTGACCTGACAGCCAAGATCGTTTCGTAAAAAAGTGTATATGGATGGGGATTCAAACCTAAGACCTTTCATCTGGCAGGCCTGCATCTTGCTATTGAGCTGCCACAGCTCCTGTTCATTCTTATGTTGGGTTTAATCATATCTCTGAAGTAAAGCAGTAATTCACTCTTTCTGTCCCACAAGTTCCTAGCTGATGTCTTGGGGGAAAGGGGTGGTGTAGGGAATAGACCAACTGCCTTTTTTATCAGACATGTCATAAGAGTTGACTAATTGCAGGTTTCCTTCAAAGTCGGGGTTCATCTGCCTGAGAGGCAAAGAACCAACAGTCAGCATACAAATAAGCTAAATCTGTAAAATGGATGTGCACACAAAACTAAAGTTCTGGTCTGAGACTAAAGTCCAGAAGTGGACAAAACAACCAGAACTTTCTGCCGGAATTTACAGTCATTGAACACTAAAAGAAAAGAGAAGAGTTCAAGGGAGTTACGAATGGCAATTCTAAAATCATGGGTGTACTACTTCCAAACGGGCTAAATATACAACCCTTGCAGGAAGCTTATATGTGTTCAGAGTTCTTCAGAGTCCCTCACTAATCATAATATGTAAAAACGTACATAACATATTGATGGTTAGTTAGTTGCGTATCCTTTATAGGACTTTTCAGAGCCAACCCCAGCATTAAAAGGCTGTTGTGGTTTTTCTAATCAAATTTACTAACAGTAGATGTCCATTGCTTTCTGGACGGCCGACTCCTCAATACCACTGTCGAAACCAAGCAAGGCGCAGGGCCTGCAGCTGGGGTCAAAACAGGCACCTCACCATTACGAAGTGCGTTCACAATGCCCAAGCCACAGACGCCGACATGGGTACGCATGAATAATAACCAGTCTCGCATAATGTATTGTCAGACAAGGCTTGATATGGCAACATCCCTGATGTTCCAACTGAATACGATGTGGAGGAGCAAAATCAGCATGACAGTTAAGGTCAGCAGGTGCTGTATTAATATCCTACCCCAAAAAGGGGAAATCCACAGGTCACGGGACAGTCTGATATTTCAGATAGGCTGCATACAGTCGTGGGACCTAGGTTGCATGCAGTTGGGGTTAGGCCAGTTCAAGATATTTTGGGGTCGTTAAAAGTATCAGAAAGCCGGGAAACCCAGTCTTACCACCCTCTAAAAGGTTAGACTGTCCTGTGACGTCATCTGGGGTAGGATATTGATAAAGAACCGGTCAGTATATACAGATCACTGGTTTTGTCTATTTTCTTATATGGATGTGAGAGTTGGACTTTCGCTGTGGAAAAGGAAAGGGGAAGGGATTCAGGCTTTCGAATGCAAATGTTACAGACTCATTTTACGAACTAGTTATTTAGAATACAAAACTAACAGATGTGTCAAAGACAAAATATACAAATTTTCAGGACATCAGGAGCCTCTCTTGGCAGTGGTGAAACGGTGCAAGCTAGCTTGATTCGGGCACGTGGTGAGACATGATTCGTTTGCAAAGACTGTACTTCAAGGAACACTGGAGGGCAGTTGAAGAACAGAAGGGCATAGAAGAAACTGGAATGACAACATTAAGAAGTAGACAGGACTAAGTTATCATACATTTATTCATCAAGCGGAAGTCAGAGGAAGATGGCAGATTTTGTGTGCTAGTGCTTCCATCGATACACCTTCACGACCCTAATGGGTCAAGGGTTATGTTATGTTACTGTAATGTTTGGTGCAGAACAAGTTACAAATCAGCTTGATAAGAAAAGACCTTTTTCCCCTCTGCCTATTTCAGATCTGAATTTACCCAACTGGGAAGAAGAGCCAGATGAGAATGGACATAAAGTTAGAAACATATCATATACTCTTACGCTGAATAATTCCATTGGACCCAAGACATCTCCATCTACAGAAAAACAGGTAAGTATTTTCATCATATCTCATTTTTCACCATTGTTCAGTGATTGTGGCTAGAGACAATCTGTTTTGTATATTTTGGTGAAAAGGAAGCATGTTTTGTAGTTTATTTTATGTTGATGTAATTGAAGTATTGCATCATCATCATGTAGCAGGTCCTTTGCAGAACATCGCTGTCATCACGGCCTGCCTGAAAGAAACTCGGTTTCTTGCCAGTTCTCCTGCCTCGTGTACTTTCATATTCAAGGAGTCACTTATATCCTGTGCCCATCTTTGTGTCGGTGGGCCCTTGCCCCTCCTTCCTGGTACCATGCCTTCTGCTATAACGTTTTCCATTCTGTCGTGGCACTTCATATGACCAAAATATTTCAGCTTTCGAGACAGGATGCTGTCTATTAGCCAATCTTCTTGATGTTCAGATCTTTCAAGATGTCAGTATTTCTCCTCTTCTTTGTCCAAGATATTCTGAGAATATTTCTATAGCATTAAAAACAATAAAGGAAATTAAAGGACCCTTTTCAATGCCATTAGACATTTTGGGCATATAGGACAGACATATATTTTATAGACCAATTGGTAGGCAGCTTGTGATGTGGTCAGCCTTTTCCTTCCTAGATTTCACCTGGTACCCATTTTAGGCTGGGTCAACCTGGGAGCTAAGGTCATTTTATGCAACTGATAAGATGTAGCAAAATATGTGTATCCTCCTTCATGTCATTATAGACACGAAAGGCATTCACAACTGATATCCCCATTGTTACCCGTCCCAGGTTTTCTCCCAGTGGTATCAGATGTCAGTTTTCACTCTTTCGTTCCCCTTTCTACCCTGCTCATCCAGGCTTCCTTATGTCTCCATGTCTTCTTTTTTTCCAGTTGCCCACCACCAGAGAGAGGAAGTCTGCAGACTTGTCCAAGCCATCTTCATCTTCTTCCTTTGAAAATGTTTGCCAGGAATGATTATGTTAATTTTCTGCTCAGTGCTTCATTTGTTTTCTTACATGGCCAGAATACTCACAGAATTCTCCTTATTCTTCTTTGACATCGTTGTTTTTTTAACTCTTTAATTTATATGTAATACTCTGCATCATTGACAACAAAATATGCCAGGCAACCAGCGATACCAGATTCTCTATAGACATTTTTTTAAACTCTTTAATTTATAAGTAATACTGTATGTCATTGACCACGAAGTATGCTAAGCAACCAGCGATATGACTTATTTTTTGTGTCCGAATTTTTTAAAATTATTAAACAAGCAACACATACAAAAATCATTTTTGTCTGCAGAGATGTGTTTCTGCGGAAGATAGCTTACAATACCATCGACTGTCAAAATGAGTTATCTAAATGTTTGTAAAAAGCTAGGACAGTGTAAATTAACATGAACATTAGAAAGATGTTGTTAATATGTTTAGCCACACAAGGTGAGCAAAAAAAAAGACAAACTGGAATATAATTTGTTAGACACATTTGGTCAAAAAAAAAATTTGAAATATAATTCTTAGCCTCAATAGGTGAAATAAAAGAACGACTATAATATAATTGTTAGCCACATGCGGTTAAAAATAAAAACTGGAATATATTGTTTGCCACACTAGATTTTAAAAAAAAAAACTGTAGCAGCACTTTTTTAAGATGATATCTGTGATTGTTATCCTCAGATATGTTATAAAATGTCTCGCCCCGGCCGTATTTACCATGTTGATTGTGAATGCTGCAATGGAGGAATTCCCTACTCGGACTCCTTCTACATGTTACTGAGGTACTGCTTGACTAGGGCGTCTCCATCCAAGTGCCATGTGGTTGTCACTGGAGAACTAAAGTACAAGAAACATATCATCATGGTTTTTAAAAGTAAGTGCGCCTTCTCTTTCTCCCCCTTATTTTTCTTTGCTTCTCTCTCTGTCTCTCTCTCTCTGTCTGTCTGTCTCTCTCTCTCTCTCTCTCTCTCTCTCTCTCTCTCTCTCTCTCTCTCTCTCTCTCTCTCTCTCTCTCTCTCTCTCTCTCTCTCTCTCTCTCTCTCTCTCTCTCTTGCCCCTTCTTCTTATTATTCTTCTTCCACTTTTCTCTAGTAAGTGTTTACTGGCTTGTTTTTGTACCTTTAGAGAAGAATCCTTAGAATTCCTTGGACAACCAAAAAAAAACAAAAAAGTAACCCAGATGTTGTGAAAGAGGCAAGGGCTGAAAGATAACTTATCACAAACATCAGAAAGAGACAGTCATCATTTTTTGGGGGAGATTGTTTTAGTAAAAGAGGGAAACTGGAACATGTTGTGACCACTGGAATGATCTGCAGAAAGAGAGACAGAAGAAGATAGAAAGAGAAGATTTTAGACAGCCTCTTGTCATGGTGGGCAAGGATGTCAGCACACGAACTGACACACGCAGTTGCAGATTGCAGATTGTGGAGAGGCATAACTGCCCCATGCCGCTCGGCAAGGCACTTGATAATGATTTATATTTCATTATATGATGGTTTAATGTTAGTGTGGCATGCACCACAGCCGTTTCATTAAATTATAGAGTTAGTAACTATCCCGATGAGTGACTGGCTGAGTTGTAAGATTGCTAGGCTGTCATGCATGAGACCTGGGTTCAAATCCCTGTTGAAGTGATGGAGATTTGTTTCTCTCAGGGACAGAAATTAACATTCTGACCTTCCCAGTTCATGGTGACTGCGCTAGCCATGAGACTTGAAATCCTTAGACTCAAGACCCCCATGTCCTTATTTTCATCATATTATCCTCCACAAGTATATTGCCAGCTGGCATGGGCGATTATGCCTCTCCACAATCTATATGCCTCTCCACAATCTATATGCCTCTCCACAATCTATATGCCTCTCCACAATCTATATGCCTCTCCACAATCTGTGATCTCCATCAGCATGTATCAGTTTGCAAGCTGACACCCCTGCATGCCTTTTAAATGATGAAGTGAAAGAGGGGCAGGAGAATAAAGAAAGAATACATAATTAACACTTTAGAGCAGTGAATTCCAAACTGTGCGCCCGTGGTAACCAGGAAACCGCAACCTCTTCACAGAGGCGCTGCAAAATATTCGAAGATACACGAGTTGTTTTTTTGTTTTTTTTAAATCTCTTACAAATGAATAGTCATACTTTTACTTTGGCTAGGGCGCCATGGAAAAATTGTAATTGAAAAAAATGTGCAGCGACTAAGAAAAGTTTGGAAAGCTCTGCTTTAGAGAAAGCATCTATTCTTTTGATGAAATTATACATTAACATGACTTTTAAATCATACGGTGGGGGGGTAAAAAGGTTCACACCCCACCCACCCCCCTCAGTCTGTCTCAGAATCATCTGTTTAGCATTTGCCATGTTAAAAGCAGTGACACTCTTATTCAGCCTGCTGGTTTATTCTGCATTTATCATTTCAGGTATGATTGAGAAGAGTGCAGTTAATGGTCTCACTGATTACTTCAGACAATTGTGTAAGTCATTTTCTAACTTTAGGTTAGCTCTGGAAGCCATTGACGCTAAAGTGGCTAAATGCTTGCTTGCTAGCCTAAAGGTCATGAGTCAGAATCTGCATTGAGGCCTTTTTTTTTTCTTCAAAAATTGACTTTGGCTCCCAGGTCAACTTAGTCTAAAATTGGAACCAGGCTTTGTCCTAGGAAGTAAAGGCGGCTGGCGTGATGTTGACCACATTACCCACCGAGTGCCTATTGGTCTGTAAAAATATGAATCTAGCACCTTATGTCCAGTACATTTCTTGGTTTGTTGGTTTCAGCTGAAATACATTTCTTACTGATTTAACCCTTTTAGCACTGGAAGTTTTTCAGAGGTCTAGCCAAAAACACGGAGCATTTTTTCAGTGAATTTGGTTATTACTTTATTTAATCTTTTTGACAGATTTCTGTTATTCTGACCCCCATGAAATAATATATCTATTTGAAGGATATAGATTGAAGTTCGTGATTTTCACAATATCGTTAAAATTAATTGATGTATATGCAAATTATCTCATTTGCATATCTAAAAATAGAAAATATGAATTTGAATTTTCAACTTCAATGCTGGAAACTAAAAACAAAATTTTTTTTTATTTGAAATTTTTTTATTGATCTTTGGCCTTTTTACAAATGTTGTAAGCAATTCAATAGTCAAAAACAGGTATATATATGTGAAACAGCAATAATATCTTTAGGTGACATGTGTTTTTCACCATCAGTCAGCACTAGAAATGGATGTGCCGGAGTGTCAACACCTTCGGGTGGATATACCCTGAGCCATGGTTGGGCTGTGGTCTGAACACAACAGCGTCCCCATCTGATTCCCACTATTACTACTAACACTAAATCCTGCATCAGTATCAACAGAATTAGTGTCATCACTTGATTCAAATGTTTTATCAACATCAAGTTTAGGGGCAGAAACATACGAGTCAGACATACTTTTAGCGGTTCAGGTCACTATCTAAAAAATTCAACAACAATTTTCACTTCGATACCAAACACTCGAAAGTCGCCATGTGTAAAGCTGATACAGCAGTTAATATAAATGAATCACTTTCAGTGTTTCAAAGTAAGAGATTTCTTAGCGGTTCGAGGCGAAGCACGATCGGGCCGATGATCGGCCGTTCCGTGTTTTTGGCCAGACATCTGCCGGCCGATAATCGGCCCGTCCGTGCTAAGAGGGTTAAGAATCTACATCATAGCGCACCTGTCAAACCCATAGATACTCTGTCTCCTGCAGCAAATGTCTTAAGGTGTAGATGCCAACTTTACTGGCAAAGCCAGTAGCATACACACAAGCACACACACACACAGTGAATAAGGCAGTATTTAGAAGTGCCAGCACAAACAGGAAGGCACTATAAATGCAGTTCATCATCGATGAAAGCAGCAGTTACAACAGATCAGTAGTTGCTCACGCAGTTAATTGTGTAAGGCACCGCCAGTTCTCTGGCAACAGGAAACTCGCCAATTTCTGAATTCGCAGTTCACAAAACAAACTCAAACTGTTGGACACAGTGAAAAAGCATTATGAATGATATCTGCAGCGCAACAGTGTCATGTCATGCACTTAGCTCAGTAGTTGGGTGATGGAACCATATCCGGAAAATGCTACAGATAATAAATGTACGAAGTTAAAAAGTTACGACATGCTTGTTAGCGGTGAAGTGGGTCAGTTTTGGGTTTTTTTTTTCTTTAGTGGGGCCCCGGAATCCAAGATGGGGAACCTGTTATATGATTTTGTGAGATAGTTAACTTAAAGCATGTTTTATTTTAATGTAGATTGTTTTTGTTTTTTTTCAAACATGCCAGTAATTTACTTGTTTGACTCAATCTGTTGACAGCCGTCCATCTCCGGCATGAGTCTCAGCTGAAAGAAGCTCTTGCATGTCACCAGATGAGTGTCCCAAAGAAGAAAGTTCGCAGAAAAAGGGCTAGAGCTCATGCTAGTGCTGCAGACAGTGGAGCAACCTCTCGACAGCCGTATGCGGAGAGGCAAGCTTCAGCGCCACCATCACCTTCGAAAGGTGAGTATTGAGAAAGGTTATTACCATAGGAGGAAAAAACTGCAGGTGATAGCAGCTAGTAACTCACTGTTGCTGTTGCGAAAGGTATACTCGGTGAGAGCAGCAGGCATCGCTTCAGTTGTCCCGGATAGGTAGCATCCTTTATATATTTTCTCCAGGTCATGCCGGTGTGGTGGGAACTAAAATATGCAGATAGACTGGCTGGTTCTGCACAACTTGGTGGTGAATTAATGCATGACAAGCTGGATGCTGTAATGGCCCTTTGGAAACGAGTGAACAGTTGGAGGCACAAAAAGACATTAAAGTCTGAGGAAAATGGTGCTACAAGGAGTGATCAGGGGATCTGGCCGACGCTTAACAGTCAAGCTAAAGGTGAGACAGATATACAATCTGAATGTTACTGATACCATTGGAATCAAAACTGCGCTTGCTGCTGAAGATGGGATGGAGCGCTTGTGGGAATGTTTCGAGTGCTGTGACTGAACATTCAACTTTTGCTGGGAACTCCAACGTGCTCAGTCTTTTTGCCCTGGATGTACACTCACTCAGACTGCTGTTCGTCTGTCTCTTGATGTTACTGTTCTACTTTGAGGTTTGAGAGGCAAATAAGACAACAACTGGAAGAAAAACATTTGGAAAGAAGAAATATAAGAAAAGGAAAAAAAAGAATGAAGCTTCTTCTTCTGCTTCTCGTTCTTTAATATTCTAAGCCCTTGAAGGTCATTGCTGCAGATATCATCCGCCTCCTTTATCCAGATTTTGAATTTTTATGTGTATGTATGTCTTACTTTCCATTCTCCGCTGTTTGCCTCTTTGACGGGTCCAAAGATTGGTCTTAAGACTATGTACTCAAAAATTTGTAGTAAGGAGGTTACAAAGCTAGAACACACAACATCAGTGAAATATACCAGTACAACTGTGCTGTGTAACCAAGTCAAGAAATAAGGGTATTCGAAGAAAATTTGGCAGATCATCTGCCTCATGACCTACCAGTTTAGTTTTTTTGTTTTTTTAAACAAACAATCAGTGTTCAGGCTGTCTTCATTTTAGCCCTTATATTTGTATAATTAGTTTCACTGTTTCTATCCAGGAGGAGCTCCTTCAGATGTGCACCTTTAGCCTCTCTCATCAACGTTCATTTTGGCACTAATTATAATACACATATAAATTGCATGATAATTATGTAATTTGGAATGTTTATATGTAAGATATGTTTCTTGTTTCTTTCCAGCCTTGTACAGAGAAGATAAACTGATAGAAATTAATGCTCATACTCTGGTCAGAATCATCTTAGTCATGTAAGTAAATGTAACTGTTGGCTTTGGGCTACTTCATTTTGGGTTTTAAATGCATTTTTTATATCATCATCATCATCCCGTAACACTACTATATGGGTCACCAGTTTCTGTTGACTATCTGATCAGCTCTCTCCACGTTTGGCAGTCAGTTGCGATGGACTTCATGGTTGCATACCTGAGGCCTGTCCAGTCAGTCAGGTTCTGTAACCAGGTCTTTTTTGGTCTGCCTCTTCTCCTCTTTCTCTCTACTGACCCCTGCAGTATTGTTTTTGAGAGGCCGTTAGATCTTATTACATGTCCATACCATTGCATTTTTCGCCTTTTCACTCTATTTAAAAGAGGTTCATAGTTGCCAATGTGCTGTATAATTTTATGGCAAACCTCTTTGTTTGTAATGTGATCTCTGAATGATTTCTAGTGCTTGTATCTTTCTTTCAAGTTCAGCTGTAAAGGTCTATGTTTCACAGCCATTTGTAAATGAACTTATAGCTAGTGCTCTGAGCAATCGAATCATAGTTTAACATGAAATGTTTTTGGATCTTCCATAATGTTTGCTGCTTGGCAAGGACTGATGTTGTCTAGGCAATCGTATTTATGTATATATATATATATATATATATATGATCATCCTTTATTCTGCATGTTGCACTTGTTACAAATATTTTGGCAGTTGGAAACAAATGAGCAGATTGTTGGTCCGGCAATGATTTGCAAATTAAAAGAGCCACCTACTAAAGGGAGGGAGCCGCCGTGGTCTAGCGGCTAGATGCTCTCCTGCAGATCAGAAGGTTGTAGGTTCGGGTCCTGCCAGGGGCCGGACTTTTTTCAAAAATGACCTTAGCTCCCATCCTTGAGTTGAGTGGGTGCCAGGTACAGTCATAGAAAGTAAAGGTGGAAAGGTGGCCGGTGTAATACTGACCACGTCACCCGCCAGGTGCTGCTTGGTGTGCAAAATATAGGTCTAGCCCTATATACCCAGTACGCCTGAAGGCGTGGTAAAAGGTCCTTAACTTTTATTTCTTTAATTTTTTTTTTTTTTTTTGGATTAACTTTTTACCTACTACCTTTACTTTTAGGGGAGTAACTATTTACCTACTAAAGGGAAATATTTATAGTGTGTATGATTCTGTTGTCGGCCTCTGTGGCTTAGGTTTTGCAAACAAGCTTTGTAATGCCAGGGTGCCGGGTTTGATTACAGCTGCGGACGGTCTGTCTTGCATTGGTTTCGACAGTGGTACCGGAACTGACTGTTCAGAACAGTGGCAAACTACTGAATTTAAATTTTGACTAGAAAAACCTCAAAAGCCCCCCAAAAAATCTGGGGTTGGTTCTGCAACGTCCTGCAAAGGATACACAACTATCTGTTGTTTTTTGGGTTTTTTTTTTATACTTCCGCTGCTGCTGCTTCTTTTTTTCATCCTGCTAAAACATTTTTTTTCTCCCTCTTCTCTGTTACTCACCCACATCAGAGTGTTGCCTTATTGACATGCTTGTATTCCTTGTGCTGTTAATGCTATATTTTACATTGAGAGACTTGACTACTCCTGCAGTTGATTTTTAATTGTACAAAGGTTTTCAGTTGAAGTTCACATCTTGAGAAATTTGTTTCAAAATTGACCTTGGTCTCAGGTGAACCTAGGTAAAATCCTAGGATATTTTACTTTACTGTACATTTAAAATGTACATTGACAGAAACAATATAACATTTCTGTAGAAACCTTTGTTGACAAATGCCACGACCAGAAGAAATTCATACCCAAATGCTTCAGAACCTCTGTATTCCATTGTTTTTTTGTTTCCATGGAATACAGTATATTCTTCTGGACATCTCCAGAGACTAAATTAGAAGTTGCTTGTTCATTGTTCAGATTTCTGCACCATACAGCATAAATAAAAAAAGTTTTAAGGACATGCTGGTTTATAAGGAAATTAGAAAGGTGATAGGCTTGCAGGTAAGGCTACTGTGGAGGGCAGACAAGCCATGAAGCAGACTGATATACAGAATGCTCTGCGAGAAGTAAAAGTGATGTCTCTGGCTAGTCTGCGAGAAGTGAAACGTTTGCAAGAACCAAGTGATGGCTCGGGCCAGACTGTGAGAAGTATAACATTTGCGAGAACCAAGCGATGTCTCTGGCCAGACTGCAAGAAGAAAAACATTTGCAAGATTCAAGTGGTGGCTCTGGCCAGACTGCAAGAAGTATAACATTTGCGAGAACCAAGTGATGGCTCTGGCCAGACTGTGAAAAGTAATACTTTTGCAAGAACCAATTTATGGCTTTGGCTAGACTGCGAAAAAGAAGTTAGTTGAGCAAATAGCTGCCAAACAGAAACACTATGCAGGAGACCAAAGAAGAAGAATAAATCAGCACAGAACCGGTGTCATCAGCCAGCCGCTATACACTGCAGAATTTACTGAGGAGGGGATCTGAGCACCTATGGACTGAATGGTTTGATGTGTAGTAAGGATGTTCTATCAACTATACAAAACATTTAACAGTGCGCATTTTCAATTTGTTGTTATCTCTAGCTATCAGTAGTTGTCCCTTCTTGTTGAAGATTCGTTCTCTATGTTTGTATTGCTGTATTCTATATTGACAGACTTGTACTGCTTCTGCTGTTTAATGCTGTGCTGTTCTACAAACTGTGGTCACTAGAAAGTTATGCAAGTTCATTATTTGGATCACCTTCGCAAGACTCCTTAGACAATCTAGCGTAAGTACTGTCTCTGCTTGTTTTGAATGTTCCTTTTTTTTTTTTTTGTGATCCGTTCGTTTTTAATTTGTACATTTCTTTAACAGTACTATTATTTTATCCTTGTCTTCAATGTCTGACTAAAATTCATCATCATCATCATCAAGTGCTCTGCCAGCCGGCATAGGCGTTCATGCATCTTCACAGATCTCGGTCTTAGATGTTCTGGATCAATTCCGCTGATGATATTCCTCCATGCAGCTGTCTTAAACCATCCACCATCGTTTCTCTTGGTCTACCTCTGCCTCCTCTACCAGTGATTTTTTCCAGTCATCACAGTATTTTCCAGCACTCATTTTCTAAAAGGAGACTAAAATTAGACCCAGAAAATGTCCTTAGAAGAACAAAAGTAGTAACTAAAATTAGACCCAGAAAATGTCCTTAGAAGAACAAAAGTAGTAAATATAACATAAAATATGACTAGAAGGAATGGGAAAGATGTGCACAAATACAACTCACCGTTTTGACCAAAGTCTTTGTCAGCGGAGTACTAAATACAACACCGACTGACTGAAAAATTCAACGGGCAAGACAACAGAGATTCCTAATGGGTCACCATGAAAGCAAGAAATATGTAACGGGGGAGGAGGGGTATGAGCATGTAGGGTTGTATTACAAAACAATGTAAAAAGGCATTTTGAAAAAAAAAAAAAATTTTTTAAAAGGGGGTGGAAAAATAAACAAGGTAATTAAATTAATTAATAATATTAAGTTAAAAACAGTTTTTTTTATTTTTTTTTTTATTTTATTTTTTTAATTACTATATGCCTAAGGCATTAAGAAGAATTGGCTCGTAAACAGCATCCTGCCCTGAAAGCTGGAGTATTTGGCCCTGTTAAACATCATGGTGGCCTTAAGATAATGGTGATGAAGACAACAGTTTCCAGAAAATGAGGCAGTCTCCATGAAGGTGGATACACAACATTGAAGATGTATTGCCCATGAAAGCACATAGGGCTGGAAAATCAGGCCCCCTCCCCCTACCTGGGCATGCAAATGGTCCCATAGTTCTAGATCAGTATTTCTTGTACAAATCTGTTAATTTAAACCGTGGTTGCTCTCTTGACAGGAAATATCCTCGCACAGGAAGAGTGGAGCCAGTTGAAAGCACATAGGGCTGTAAAATTAACCCTCCCCCCCCCCCCCCAACCCCTGGCATGCCAATGGCCCTACAATTCTAGATCAGTACTTCTTGTAAAAAATCTATTGATTAAAACCCTGGTTGCTCTCTTGACAGGAAATATCCTCGCACACAGGAAGAGTGGAGCCAGTTGTTACAGCAGCAGCAGAACTTATACGAGAGTGAAATCACCAGATGGGAAGAAGTTTTAACAACATCTATAGACATTGTGGAACAGGTTCGAAAAAAAAACGATATTTTCAAGTGGTTACATGTTTTGATTCTTTGTTTACATCTTGGAGTGTCATAAGATTTACATCATTTATTATTACAGTAGTACCTCGGAATTCAAATAAAATCCATTCCACGATGGCGTTTGAATTCCAGATCATTTGAGTTCAAAGGCAATTTTTCCGATTGAAAATAATGAAAACTAAATTAATCTGTTCCAGGGTCCAACAAACTCAAATTTTAAAATGTATTTTCCTAAATACTGTACACTGTAAATATAGTAAAACATGATGATCATATTTGAATACACACATAAATGACAAAAATAAAAGATATTAAAATATTGAATCAGTGACTCTAGGTCTAGTCTTGTTTTCCCAACAGTGAGGCCTCGGTGGCCATTTTATTTTAAACAAACACTTAGTAACTTGGCAAACCTTGCAAATATACTGTATTTCAGTTTTTTAAACCATGTTTCCAAATGAGCATGCCTGATATCAGACACAAAGATCTCGAAAGGAAGTTGAAATAGAGCTGTCCACGTTTTGTTATCAGTCCGTGTGGTAAATTAAAAACCCTTGCTTACAATGTGTCAGTTGGGCCGCTGGATTGTAATCAATCAGCGTGTGATGTGTTCCTTGGGAGTCAAAGAGTTAAACTAGTCTTCTTGGTTTTATGCCCTTGTCTCAGATATATAGGCTTACATTCCACTACCAGATCAGTGACAAGTGTACAACATTCTTTTATAATTTGTAAAAAGCACACAAACCATGCTTTATGAATTAAACAGGTCCTCACTATATCGGTTCCAGGGCCCCTTTATTGATATAGAAAATTCCAGAAGTGGATGAACAGCTGGAAATTTCAGCAGGAGTTTACACCTGGTAACTGTAAGAAAAAGAAGAACCGGGTCTATGAGTCAGAGGCAGATATCAAAGCTCCTTCTTTCCTGACAGTTTTAACTGTGTAACGCAGAACACAAGACATCTACATGAGGAAACTTCTCATTCAAAGCATAATTATCTCAGCTTGATCTTGTCAGTGCTTTTCATAATCACTCATTATAACTGATACCAGGAAGAAGGGGCAGTTGCTGACTAACACCAAGATGGGCAAAAAATATGTGACTCTATAAATATGAAAGGGCTTGAGGTTCTGGTGAGAGGCAGAGTTTCTTTCAGGCAGACCATGATGAGAGCGATGTTCTGCAAAGGACCTGCTATATGTTGATGATGTATTGCTCATGAAGCATGATCCCTCTCTTTGTGCCTGCCTTGTTTACTCCAAAGGAAAGGTAACACCAATACATTTATAGTTTATAACAAAGCATGCTGCAGAAGCCGCCAGATCAGAAAAGCAATACTATGTCTGTCCGCATGTTAGAGCTCCCTCCTAGACCAGTTGCCAACCAAGGCAAAGAGCCTGGTCCACATTTACTTTTCCTAGGATAAGAGAAACTCTACAGTTGTATCGATGCAGTCAGAAGAGCAAGAAACAGAACTGTTAAATTTCCCTTGTAACCCCAAAACGGTAAAAGTGAAGAAGGAAGGCAGAGAAATTGTTTTTAACTTCTTGAGTACCTCAAGGTTTTACAGGAAATGCTCATAATTTTCTTCTTCTTCTTCACCTTCACCGGCCGTAAACTTCAGCTGAAAGTTCTGGTTGTTTGTCTACTTGTGGACTCTTGTCCTGTTCCAGAAACTGAGTGTTGCATGTGCATTCATTTCACAGGTCTGACTCATTTGTATGCAGACCTTGGTTCCTTGCCTCGCAGGCAGATGTATTCCGACTTCAAAGGAAGCTTCCAGTTAGTAGACTCTTAGGACATGCTTTTGGGCAGGCAGTGGGTCTGATCTTGTTTTACCCACAATGAGGCCTGGGAACACACAGGCGGATGCTCATAATAATTTTAAAAAAATAACCACTAGAAAACCAATGAGAGTATTACTTTCAAATTGAATTGAGTCAAAAATTGACATCACAGCACTCGGGGCATTCCCATATGTGCTCCGTACTCATCTTCAGCAGCCAGCGCAGAGTTCCAGTACTGATAGTACCGGTCACAATCTAGTTATATGTCCGTCTTGCCTTTCCTCTGAGTGTAGTGAGCTGCCAGACCCTCTGGTTACACCCAGGTGTATTACTTTCAAAAACCTCGATACTCTAGAAGTAGTATTTCCTAAGAATGACCTGACCAGACATAAAATAAACCAGAACATATAACATGTTTGGTTGGATTGACAGATGGCTAACCACGTATCAGGCATTGTTTGGGACTGAAAGTGTTGTCTCCTATGCCCTTTTTTTTTTTTTTAGGGGGAGAAACTAGATCCACTGCTTCCTAACTATTTTGTTAATTAGGAGTTTTCTGAAATTAGATGTGTTAGGCCAAAAGAAAGATACAGACATCACAGCTTAGCTGTAAACCACAAACACAGGGTGCCAACTACACTTTTAGCGGCAAACATAGAAAAAGAAGGAGATGGAGAAGAAATTTGTTTTTGAGTGAGAGCAGCCTGAAAAAGAGCAGAATGTTATCTTGTCTCTTTTTTCTCAAACAGATGAAGATGTCTCTGTTAAGACTGCAGAAATCTGTGAAATCAAGCGCACAAAGCCACAGGGAATCCTGACATTAGCTGTCTCTCTACTGTTGATGCCTTCTTGTGATACGGTCCAGATGTATTTTTCATTGATGAAGTGTTTGACTTGTTGTTTCCATTGTACATTATCATTCCATTGTTGGCATCATATCCTGGGCTCAGCACAAAAGTTACTGTGTGGTTCTCGAACTATTTGATGCCTGTTGTCAACCAGTGTTGGCATCATATCATGGGCTCAACACAAAAGTTACTGTGTGATTCTTAGACTGTTTGATGCCTGTTGTCAACCAATGTTGGCATCTTATCATGGGATCAACACAAAAGTTACTGTGTGATTCTTAGACTGTTTGATGCCTGTTGTCAACCAGTGTTGGCATCTTATCATGGGCTCAGCACAAAAGTTACTGTGTGGTTCTCAGACTGTTTGATGCCTGCTGTCAACCAATGTTGGCATCTTATCATGGGCTCAGTACAAAAGTTACTGTGTGGTTCTCAGACTGTTTGAGGCCTGCTGTCAACCAGTGTTGGCATCTTATCATGGGCTCAGCACAAAAGTTACTGTGTGGTTCTCAGACTGTTTGAGGCCTGCTGTCAACCAGTGTTGGCTGGTAGGTCATTAATCCCATGCGGGATTGATTGTTATCTATAGAATTAACACTTCATGGATAGGACTCAAACAGGAGCATATCCCAGAAACCCTGTTCAAGCTGTTACACAGTTATATTAGGGACCTTGTGCTTACACATTCACCTGCAGTCTAATATGAGGGCTGGTTATATATGTGTATGTGTGTGTGTATATAGTAAGTAAAGGTCTCTTTTCCAGGCCTTTAGGCATATTGGGAATATAGGGCTAGATCATCGGCACTTGGTGAATAATGTAGTCAGCATCACGCCGGCCACCTTGACTTTTCAGGACTGTACCTAGTACCCACTCAATGCTGTGTCGACCTGGGTGGGAGTCAAGGTCATATTTTGAAGAAACATCCGACTCCATCAGGATGTAAACCCACGACCTTTTGATCCACAGGCGGGCCTGTAATCACCAACGCCATGGTGACTCCCATATATATTATATAAATATTTATATATATATATATATATATATATATATATATATATATATATAAAGAGAGAAAGAGAGAGACTGACTGTGTTCACCTATTTTGCACATCAAAAGGGAATCCTTTTGTTGTATGAAGTAATGGAAACCGTTCACATATAGTTAGATATTTTTGTTTTCAAATGTTCAGTTTTATTTGTAAGCAACAAAACAGTATATTTTCATCTTTAGTTTTTATTTTTATATTTCTCTTGTATTGTTTATTTTAAATGAGAACTGAGCTGCATAGTTCCATATTTGGCTGTAAATGTTGTTTTAGAAACGTTCAAGGAATAGTTTACTCTTGTTTGGATTAGCAATTCTGACATGAAGATTATAGTTTTTATAAGTTTTTAGTGACCTTGACAAAAAAATGTGCCTGATGTGGTGTTGACATTTATTCTTCTACAGAAGCTACAAAAGTTTGTTTGTGTCTTGTATGCCCGAAGGTACGTCAGAGTTGAAAATTTCTTTGGTTGAGCAATGCACAGATGTAAAATGTTGCGTTTAGCTTGAGAATTTACCCTCAGAGACAGCAAGTTTTCTCAATAAAGCGTATGGTGACACCACAATAACAATTTAATTTGTTTTTAAGTGGCAAAATCCTTTCTGCTATGTTAGTGTTGATGATAGACATAGTCGGCAACTGAATTTGAATTAAGAATAGACCTTACAGCACTCACATCTCCATAAGTGCTCCATCCCCATCTTCAGCAGCTAGTGAAGAGTTTCCATTCTGATGGTACCAGTAACTGTTTGAATGTATACCATCCTGCAGTTCCCTTGAGTACTGGGCCCTCACAACATTTGGTTTGTCATGCATCAGTCCACCACCAAGTGGTGCAGAATTGGCCAGTCTATCAGCCTGCTCATTTACCAACACACTTGCCTGACCTGGAGAAAATACCCAAAGAACACTAACTACCCAGAAACTCTGAAGTGGTGCTTGCCACTTTGCAACGGAGCATGCCTGTTTCCACCTCTCTCGATATGCTATTTGAGTCAGTTACAATAACAACATGTGTACACATGATTCTCAGGCCAGCGGAAGGCAGCAGTGACTGCCTCCAGCTCCATTCTCAAACTAGAAATTGCGATATCAAATGCCAGGTTTTGCTGCACTAAGCAACATCCATTCACTTTTGCTGTAAACCCCCATGCACTCCATCTGCCTCTCGACACAGAGCAGTGGGCAACTACCTGCCACGATAAACAATAAAAGCATTGAGCATGTTGGAATATTGGTTTTGCTGACGGAAGACTTAGTGCCAAGAATAGAGTCTCACAAGCTGGAAGACCAGTTGGACTTTGCCACAGTATTCTCCCGACCTGGCACTGACTGATTTTCTTTTGTTCCTGTGCCTACAGTTGGCACTCAGAGGGCAGCGATTCAAAGATGCTAATGGTGTTATCGCCAGTGTAACAAGGCAGCCGAAAGAGGTGTCAAAGAATGGGTTCCCTGAAATGTTTCTAACAACTGTACGATATTTGCAGTTGGAGGAGTATGTGCACCAAGTATTCAAATGGTACTCTGTTGTAGGCATCCTCTAAGTCTTGTGCAGCTGCACATGTCTCTTCTTTCACCTGAAAACCTTCATAGACTTCACTGGCGAAGACTGCTGCATTGTCTGAAGTGTGTAGTTGCCAGGGGAACTATTTTGAAGGAACCGTAGTGTAAATAATTGTATTGTTACTTTTATTACAAGAGTGTAAAGCACATGCTATCAACGTGCAGAGGAGCACAGTAATGTCATAGTGGCAATTTAGAGATGACCGCCACACCCTTAACATCTGTAAACTGTCACTATGATGTAACCATGTTCATCAGCACCATATCACAGGCTTAACACTCTTGATTTCCGTAACAACAATGATGAAAATAGCGTGGTTATTGTAATTTCTATCATACTTGTGAGGTTTTTATTTGTAGCCCAGTCATAATAGTCATTGCTCAGTTTTCAGTGACGATGTCAGTTAGGTATTTGAATAGTCATTGCTCAGTTTTCAGTGACGATGTCAGTTAGATATTTGAATAGTCATTGCTCAGTTTTCAGTGACGATGTCAGTTAGATATTTGAATAGTCATTGCTCAGTTTTCAGTGAAGATGTAAGTTAGATATTTGAATAGTCATTGCTCAGTTTTCAGTGACGATGTCAGTAAGGTATTTGAATAGTCATTGCTCAGTTTTCAGTGACGATGTCAGTTAGGTATTTGAATAGTCATTGCTTAGTTTTCAGTGACGATGTAAATTAGATATTTGAATAGTCATTGCTCAGTTTTCATTTCCCCTTTCTATTTCTCATCGTGTTTATTTCCTGCTTTTTATATTGATATACCAGACAGTGTCTTGCAAAGGTTTATGCTTTTCAAATGTATTTTCTTTTACAAAAACATGCTGTCCAGTTATCGAGGGTTTATATGTGTATGTTTGTGTATGTGTATTTTAATAATGAGATAAATATAACATTATTTGATTGTAAACAATGTTGTAAGAATAGTTTTCACATACGTGATGCAGTCTAGTTCTGTGGCATAACATTTTTTTTTTTTTTTTTAAATTCTCTAAAGAGTCATCAATTTTCAAGGTTTGTTTTGACCTCCATATCTGGGTTCCAGGGCCCAATTTTGTTGGTTTGGACCCACTGCTTTTTAATAAGCATTTATATAAAAGTCAAGTGAAAGTTGAAAAGATCAACTTCATTGCACCAGGGTTTATCCCACATGGCTCTCTCCACAGAACAGCTAGCTGCGTGCCAACAGTATCGCACAAAGTACTTTATCTAATTGACTCTTTCTGTCTCATGTTTGGTCGGGGTATGCAAAAAAAGAAATCTAGCCAGATATTTTAAATGCAGCATGGAATAAGAGAGGGAGTTGCTGTATTGTAGCGACTAAAGCAGGGCTATTCAACTAAGTTTACCGAGGGGCCAAAATTTGGAAAATGAGGATCGTCACGGGCCAGAGGGCTAAACCTTGGAATAAAAAGATCATTATTACAATACAACTGGCAATGATCCACAGCCCATTTGCTAGGCCTCCTCGGGCTAGATTTGACTCGCGGGCCTCCAGTTAAATAATCCTGGACTAGAGGATCGCCTGTGGGTTAGAAGGTCATAGGTTCGGGTCATGATGGAGCCATACTTTTTTCAAAAATGACATTGGCACCCAGGTCGACCTAGCCTTGAGTGGGTATCAGGTACAGTCCTGGAAAGTAAAAGTGCCCGGAGTGATGCTGACTACATCACCCACCTAGTGGCAATTAGTCTATAAAATATATATCTAGCCCTATATGCCCATTACGCCCAAAGGCATGGAAAAGGGTCTTTTTACTTTATGAGAGAATGTCAGATGACATGGAGGTAAAAACTGTGTACACATGGGAGCTGAATGATCGCAGCAAGAGGCAGACCAAGAAGATGGTGGAGATTTGCAAGCACTTAGTGTCACGAACTGAGAAGAGAAGGCCAACCAGAGAGATGAATAGAGGTGGGTGATATCTGCAGCAGTGAACCTCAAGGGTTGGGAGAATTTGAAATTGAGAGGATTGACTTCATTGCACCGGAGTTTACCCTACATGGCTCAGTCTCTCGCCACAGAACTGCTAGCTACCTGCGGACAACATCACAGGTACAAACACTGTAGCTCCTGCGATGATCCCAGGGGTCTCCATAAAAACTGCACTCATGAACTGAACGATGCAGCCAGGAAATGAACTCGCAACCTTCAGAACTTAAGGGAAATGGCTTGACCACTTCACCACAGAGATCCCTACGCTGTAAAAAGCGAGACTATTCAAGCATGTGATGAAATAGGATGTGTTCAGCTGAAAGGTGCAGATCACACAGTCTAGCCGTAAACTTCAATACAGTTTACCAGCCACCTTTTTAAGAGCAGACAGAGGGAGAAGTTTTGACTAAACTGCATCGTG